CTTTTTTATCCTTATACCTGGGATATGTACACTATCCTCATACCCGTACATACATAATGGATCATTATTTGATGGAGTTGTACCCGTACATACATAATGGATCATTATTTGATGGAGTTGTGTCCCTTGTGACTTGAACACAAGACCTAAGTAAGGATGACAATTAGTCAAAGTTGAAAACCTAGAGTTTCCCTTAATTGTAAGCCAAATTTCGTGTCAAATACGTGATTGGTTTTAAAAACTGAAAAAGGCAAAAAAATCGTATGCAGTAATTTGCAAAATATCTTAAAAAGAACCGTTTTATTCATCCATGTTGAAAATTTCTAAGTAAACAAACATATTGAAACTTCATTTCTAATAATTATTTTTATGGTTAAAATTAACATACTAAATCCATTTAAAATGATTAGAAAAGTCACACTATCAAAATATTCAGATGAAGTTAATAGAGACAGACCATCCACATTGGGACAGTCTACCAAAATCAAAGATTCCTATTATAAATAAAAGGAGAGGTTTGAGACGTTAACCAATTAAAAGATTATCTAAATTTGAATCTCCCGCTCATATTTAAGGATCATATAAAATTTATTTTACTATTAATAGAGGATAAATATTAATGAAATGACTTGGTTATTAAATATAGTATAAATTTATTAAGATAAATAGAAAAAAATAATAATAGTAATAAAAGAGTTTCTTCTACCTAATAAAGAAGACAATAATTTTAAAGGGTGATTTTGTGAACGGTTAAAATAATGATAATTAAAATTAAGAACCAGTTATCCCTTTTTTTCTTAAGAGTTATCTATAAAACTCTAATTAWTTTCTTCTTGAAAATAAGGATGACAGCTGGTCAAAGTTGAAAACCTACCTTTCCCTTTGACTGTAATTTTCTTGTCAGATACGTGATTGGTTTGAAAAGTGAGAGAGAGAAAAAAAATTGTACGAGCATGWATTTGCAAAATATTTTAAAAATAAYAATCTTATTGATAAATGTTGAAAGTTTAAGARAAAGATGAAGTTCTYTAGTACAAGAACTATGGAGGAGAGATTGGCTAAATCCCAATAAACCATTTCATACAAGTTCACTGATATATTCTTTTTATAAAACAACTCGACTTTGATCCTTGAATAATCCATGATGAAGCCGAACAATTGGCCCGACCCACGCTATCGAAATAGTCCAGAGAGGAAGGCCCACACATACGGAGTCCGCGCGTGTAGGGACCAATTCAGAATTTCGAGGACCAGTTCGACACATGATGAACTGCCACAACGTGTCAACTTAACTGCATGTCCTACTTTTATCTCCCTCACTCGTGCARCGGCAAGGAAGTATGAGGAGGTACGTGAGAAATTTGACTTAGAAAGCTTTTAACAAAATCATAACTTCATGCTGACAAAATCTTTGGAGTGCTATTGGAGTGTTCTCGAAGACCTCACTGTCATTACCAGAACTTTTTTGGTAAGAACAATCCATATCACTTATGTTTCTATTGTAACAAAAGGTTCCATTTTTATGTGGATGACGTGGAAAAGACCTGTATCATTATTTATGTGGATTAGAACGTACTAGGCTTAATAACGACTTTCTATTCACTCATGGGATTCGGGCACTCTAGGGGGACCATCTCAGCTGCAGACCCTCTACCCCATCGACGACATATATCGTTGAACCAACTTTCAAATTGAGTCTCAATAAGAAAACTATGTCTTAAAAAGGATGAAAGGGTAAGGGATTTTGTGTGACCATTAAAATTATTGTCGGAATCGAAACACACTAGAATAACTTCAAACACTGGATCCACAGATCAGAGGCGTGGTTATTTGAAGTGGATTCTCTCTTTTTTAGTAGATGCCGAACCTGGTGCCCCATTGACTAAGAAGCGGCGGGCAGATCAGCTACATGGACCCCTACCTTTCTGTTATTGCCAGTTCTTTCGATAAATGAGTAACGTGTCTTAAATGTTGAGCTAAGTTCATGTTGRCATGTAAATAATAAACTTTTAAAAGTAAATAATATTGAAATTGTCTCTTCAACATAAAACTTAAYTTTTAATAATTATTTTTGTCGGTGAAATTACCATACTAGATTTACCAAAAGTGACCAGAGAAGCAACATGGGTCAAACTATTTAAATCAAACCGATAAAGATAGCCATCATACACAACCAGATTAAGCCAATCTATCAGAGTCAACTAAAGAAGACCCCATTTATAAATAAGAGCAAAAGCTTGAGGCGCCTATAGGGTTTTTGGCAAAATATTAGAATAGAAATTGTCGGAAGGAAATACAGTGGATGTGCTCAAGTGCTACAAAAGGGATTCATGYCTTTGGATTTTATTCATCAATTGTAATAATTTTCACATCATGAATTTTATTTCGTGGATCGTGRGTTTTTCTAATTTGGAGTTTTACATGTAAATTTTTGTGTTTTCTTTTGTAATTTTCTTTTAATTCTCAATTATTTATTTATTTTTTACTTATTCCTACCATAGAGGTAGGAAACTATAAAGTTAAAAAACACTTTTAGTCCATGTACTTTCGYTAAAGTAACAATTTAGTCCATGAACTTTAGTYTGTAACGATTTAGTCCATGTACTTTCAAATTGTTAACAATTTAGTCCTTGAACTTTAATAGGTAACAATTTAGTCATTGTATTTTAAAGTTGGTAATGATTTAGTCCTTATCTGAATTTTTTTTTTGGTTAAGTTTCTTGTAAGTATAGATTGATAAACTAAAGAGGACCAAATATGTYTATAAATTAGAAAGATTAAATTGTTATATGATAAAATTTGACACAATTTTAATAAAAAGTTTTACGATGGGACTAAATTGTTACAAATTTTAAACTACAGGGGCAAAATTGTTACAAGTTGGGTCGAGACTCCTATTATTGCTTTTGGGTTCTTTCCCCAGCCAGTCGCCCCTGTGTGGGAGGGGTCAAACTTGGAGCTTTCGTTCTTCGAATGACGCTAGTGGAGACAAATTCCTTTTGACAGACTTTAGGAAAAATACATGGACTAAATCGTTACAACCTGAAGTTCAGGGACTAAATTGTTACTTTAGTGAAARTACAGACCAAATGTGTTTTTTAACTCTACTCAATCTTAATTTAAGTATTAAAATGTATTGAACTTAGCATTACACCGATGTGCTGCAGAGGGTTCGTTGAACCCATATTCAAAATCTACCTCAACAATTATAGTTATTTAATTAAAATTATCCATTCAATAAGCAACTTAAACCTCTATTATTTTTTCTAATACGTGCTTGCCTATTGAGCAACCCCCATGTCTCATTGGACAAACAATAAATACCTATTTTTTAAAAAAASAACATCAAAACACGATTTAAAAATTTAAAATAAAAATACAAGAAAGATCGATCTCAATCAAGAAAATATAATTAAAAAAAGAAGAAAAGAAGAATAATGATATGATTTAAAAAAAAAAGTTAGTTGTATAATATTTGAATAAGTGATGGCGATGTTGGGCGTACGTGGCCATGTGCTTGGGTACGCCTATTTTAAGAAATAAACAAAACTTAAATATTATATATATATATTTTTTCGGTGTCTTTTCTGAAGTCAATTCTAATGTAATGCATTGTTACGTCCAAATATTATAAAATAATTATGTTATTTATGGAATGATTTTTCTTACACCATTAATTGTCCAAGTTTATTTGACAGCTCCCCTGTCCAATTGTCCACTAGCCACTTTTAACTTCCTTTCATAAAATCTTATTGGTTTTTAGTTTTTTTTTTAAATACTATTTCGATTTAGTTATATASTGTACTTTCAACTTTTCGTTCATTTTTATCATTGTATTTTTAAAAAGTGAATAATTTATACAATTTTTACATAAATTTAATACAKGATAGAAATACTTTAATACAAATTTAGATGTTTTGGAAGTATAGAGATCAAAATGAATTAGATTAAAAATTTATTTATATATTTTTCTCTCTCTTTTTTAACAAAATTAGTATTTTGGCGAAAATGTCTACTTTGAAATTAATTGGAGTCTGCCAATTGGTTGGTTTATAATTATGATTTATTTTTTAAATTCTTCTACCTCCAGCCACATTTTGGAGTGTTGTCAAATTATTTATAACAGATCACAATAAATTAAAAAGAAAAAGAAAAGTGAAAGAAAAATATAAAATATTAATTATACCACCGTCATACAGCCGTCAAACAGCTAGCAGAGCAGGCGTCTCCCACCGAAGAATAATGTTAACGGCGATCTAACTCCGTCAGTTGACGCCCATCACCAGCTCCTCCGTATCTTAAAGCCGCGTAAAGCGGGTCCCTGTTGATCGTTTGTCCCTGCACAGCAACCATACCCTTTCAATCCTTGAAGAAATAAAATAAATAAACTTCCTTTGCAAAAAAATAATAATAATAATAATAAATAAATAAATAAAAACTAACTTTTTTATAATTAAATTATAAGTTTTTTTTTATGTCCATTTCAATTAACATCATAAACTTATAATTATGAGTCTCCCAAACGTCATTTAATGTGGTTGAAGATGTTGTAACTTTGAAAAAGATGTTTAGTGGGCTAAATTTTGTTAATTTTGTTCATGTTCATAAATAGATAAGTTGTTTTATTGATCAAGTGTATCATTTCTTATTGTTTCTTTGTCATTTGGGAGATTGTTTTCTTTCGTGGATTTTGATTCCGGTGCGTTAGTTACCGCTTTTCTGATCTAATCTTTAATGGTATTATTTTTTCTAATGCAGTATTTCTTTGATAAAAAAAGCTTCATAAATTTATAATAATTAGAAATTCAAATATCGTTTTATTTTTTTTATCAAGTTTTTGTTTTTGAAATTTGTGTAAGAGTTTGAATGTATTTTAAAAAATGGTGAAGAATGCACCAAATAGATTATGAAAAAATAAGTATTATTTTAAGAATAAAAAAGGTTTAACTTGTGATCCGTTAGAACTTTTTGAAGGTCTGAAAACTATAGTTAAAATTTGAAATATAATTATGATCTGATCAACAGCATTTATGATTTATCTGACCCATTTAGGGAAAAGAAAACCAAATTTTATAGAAGAGATTGAGAAACCAGTTGCTGCAGGCTGCAGGCAGCTGAGCTAGCGTTCTTCGTGGCATCTCTAATTATTGTATTTCTAATCGCCGTAAAAGATTCTGGGTGTAGAAATCAGACCCCAATATGATTGAAGAGGGAAAAAAAAAGGAAAAATCTGGTTTTAATTGAAGTGGTGAAAGAGTAGGAGTTTGAAGAAGTTTCATATCCCTTTTCTTTCTTGTTTTGTGGGGTCTTGTGTRTTTTTATTTTCTCTCTATTGATGACAGCCTCGATAACAGCCTGGAAAGTTTAGTGTGGTAGCTGCACTAAAAAAACCTCTGCTCGAGAAGGGGCCTTTCATGCCGGGATTAGTGGGGATCTCCCTCCTCCGGCTTCTTTTCTCTCCGATTCACATTTTCAAGMTTATTTCTTCTTCTCCTTCTTCTTCATGAGGTACCACTTCTCAACACCCACTTCCCCATTTCTCTTTTTATTTTTGTTTCTCTGAGAAGTTGGAGCTGATTGAGGTTGTTCTGGTCTGGGTTTGTGAACTGGGCATTGTGTGGATTGATTTCTGAGCTGGGTTTTGTTGGTTCAGAATTGGGTTTCTTTTGGTTTTCTGGTTTGCAGATCGGAAGTTAGTGTATTGGGGTTTTAGACTTTTAGGGTCTGTTTCTTAGAATACAGGAGATATTGGATTGTTATTGAATTTTTTTCGTTTTTAGGATCTGGGGTTATTGGAAATGGTGAAAATGAAGTTTGTTTCCATGTATCTGGTTCTGCCTGTGGTTTTGTTTATGTGTTTTGGTGGATCTTATGCCTCTTTCACTCCCATTGATAACTATTTGATAGCGTGTGGTTCTCCACAAAACATCACCTTCCAAGGGAGAACTTTCGTTCCTGATTCTGCACATTCTTTGCTTTCTGGGAGCTCTGTTGTTGTTGGTTCAAATGGTGCTGCTGCTCCGTCCCCAATCTATCAATCTGCCCGGGTTTTCACGAGCATTGCTTCCTACAGGTTCGAAATCAAGCAGGAAGGTCGACATTGGGTTCGGTTGTATTTTTATCCTATTCCGAAGTTGGGGCGAAATCTGTCGTCTGCTTCAATTACTGTTGTCACTGATAAGTTTGTGCTTTTGAACAACTTCACTTTCAAGAACTATAATGGTTCTTTTATGTTCAAGGAGTATGCGATCAATGTGACTTCTGATTCGTTGACCCTTACTTTCATCCCCTCGAATGATTCGGTTTCGTTTGTGAATGCGATCGAGGTTGTCTCGGTGCCTGAAGAGCTGCTCCCTGATCAAGCATTGGCGTTGAATCCGTCTGCTCCTTTTAGCGGTCTCTCAGTACTTGCTCTTGAGACTGTTTACAGGCTGAACATGGGCGGTCCTTTACTCACTTCGCAAAATGATACGCTTGCAAGGACTTGGGAGAATGATATGAAGTATCTCCATGTCAACAGTWCTGCAGTGAATGTCTCTGCCAGCCCAGCGAGCATAAAATATCATACTGGTGTTACACCAGAAACTGCACCGAATTGGGTTTATGCTACGGCCGATGCCATGGGCGACCCGAATGTAGCGAACGTGAACTTCAATTTGACTTGGGTATTCTCAGTTGAGCCAAACTTTCAGTATTTTGTTCGAGTACATTTTTGTGATATAATGAGCAAGGCCCTCAATACCTTGGTTTTCAATCTTTACATAAACTCCGATAACGCTCTGAGAAGCTTTGATCTGTCGGCGATAACCGGTGACTTGGGCGTGCCTTATTATAAAGACTTCATTTCTAGTTCCACAGATTCGAATACTTTGACTGTTAGCGTTGGTCCAGATACAATGGCAGACATCACTAATGCCACCATGAATGGCTTGGAGATTATGAAGATAAGCAATCAAGCTGGGAGCTTGGATGGTACTTCATCGGTTGGAAGTCTTTTTCCAAATGCGCCCTCGAAGAAGAACAATATACCAATCATTGTTGGTTCTGTCTTGGCAGCGGTAGTAGTGCTTGCGTTRCTCGTTTTGTGTTATTGCTGCTTCATAGGTCGCAGGGGTAAGACTACTCAACCAGCTCACCCATGGCTGCCTTTGCCCTTATATGGAAACTCTCAAACCATGACAAAAGTGTCAACGACTTCCCAAAAGAGTGGAACTGCAAGTTTCATTTCTTTGGCTTCCTCTAGTCTTGGCAGATTATTCTCATTTCAGGAAATCCTTGATGCTACCAACAAATTCGATGAAAACCTGCTCCTTGGAGTTGGCGGTTTTGGTCGGGTTTACAAGGGGACACTTGAAGATGGCATGAAAGTTGCTGTTAAAAGAGGTAACCCAAGATCAGAACAAGGCCTTGCCGAGTTTCGAACTGAAATAGAAATGTTGTCGAAGCTCCGACATCGTCACCTGGTGTCTCTTATTGGCTATTGTGATGAAAGATCAGAAATGATTCTTGTCTATGAATATATGGCAAATGGACCTCTCAGGAGTCATTTGTATGGAACCGATCTGCCTCCATTGTCGTGGAAGCAACGACTTGATATTTGCATTGGTGCTGCGAGGGGGCTTCATTATCTTCACACCGGCGCAGCTCAAAGCATAATACACCGAGATGTTAAGACCACAAACATTCTCTTGGACGAAAATTTTGTTGCCAAAGTTGCAGACTTTGGTCTTTCAAAAACTGGGCCATCTTTGGATCAGACTCATGTAAGCACTGCTGTCAAGGGTAGTTTTGGTTACCTTGATCCGGAATACTTCAGGCGACAACAGCTTACCGAGAAGTCGGATGTGTACTCATTCGGTGTCGTGCTAATGGAAGTTCTTTGCACAAGGCCAGCGCTAAACCCGGTTCTTCCCAGAGAACAAGTCAATATAGCAGAATGGGCAATGACTTGGCAAAAGAAGGGCTTGCTAGACCATATCATGGACCCAAATCTGGTAGGGAAAGTTAATCCAGCATCGCTTAAGAAGTTCGGGGAAACAGCTGAGAAATGCCTTGCTGAGTATGGCGTTGACAGGCCATCGATGGGAGATGTCCTGTGGAACCTTGAATACGCTCTTCAGCTCGAGGAAACATCAACCGCTCTCATGGAGCCAGAAGACAACAGCACAAACCACATTCCTACCATCCAACTGACCCCACTTGAGCCGTTTGATAACAGCGTAAGCATGATCGATGGAGGGAACTCGAACTCTGGCACCGATGATGATGCAGAAGATGCTGCAACAAGTGCGGTATTTTCGCAGCTCGTAAATCCCCGTGGGAGATGAGAAAGAAACATTCTTCAGCTAGTGAGATTTATCCTGGATGACCTGCAAAGGCACTGGGCGTCCTTGCATTGAGTGAGTCTAAATATATTTACAGTGGACAAAATGAAGAAAATATATTGTTCTATGATTTTCTTTCTCTTCAATTAAATTCCATCTGCTCGATTCATTCAGATTGTAATATCGTTTGGTGGCATCCGCCGATCATTTCAAGATTAATTGGTACAGTAAACAGTCTACTCTTTATTTTCACATTCAGGGTTGTTTTTACACATTTACTCAGACAATGGATTGTATTAGCTGTATAATGTTTTTGTTCTGGATAAAAGGTATAGTGAATAAAGCACAGGTTCTGACTTCATGTTTGCAAATTCTATGTTCTATTATGTTCATTGCTTCTCTTAGATGTATCCTTAAGGACAGTACCATGTCTGAGACAGTTGTAATGGCTCGAAACGGGCAAATCATTCTCTTGTTTTACTGGTTGGAATCAAAACGGAACGATTAAGAATTAGAAACTGAAATCTGAATACAAAGGTAGTGCAGGTGACACACCTAAAAGTAGATATCATTCACAGAATAGAAAACAACTAGCCAAACTCCATGGGAGAAGACTATTCTGTTAGACAACATATGAAGCAAAAGCTTCAGTTATTCAATTTTTAGTATGACTTGATTCTGGTTATTGAGACTTATTTTCTGCAAAGTATTCCATTTCCACTTGTGCTTCCTCCAGAGCAGTCTATGAAGCTATATTGCTTTATCTTTGTGTCTACTGTGTTAGAGATTCGGGCCAGGGAGAACAAACAAGCATTGCAGTCGGCCGAGAGGAGCGATGAGGTCCTGTACTCCTTGTCACCTCCCACTACAGGCATTGCAACTCCAGGCTTTGCAGGATTCTTAAAGTCGGGCTGGTAAGTCCTTCCAAGCACTCCTTCGACCTTCGAAGAGAGGGCATGGAACCTGAACTGAACCTCCAAGTGAGCAAAACAGTCATCTTTCGGTATCTGATAGTTATGAATCCTGTCGTCTTCTTTTGTAATCGGTACGACGTTAACTGATATCTCTGCAATCTCAGGGAGAGTAACCAAGACACTGTTGCTGGTTGATGTTCTTTGAACTGTAACATTGCTTTCTGAGGACCTCCATTGAGAGAGACGACCATCCGGGATAATTACTTCCTKCCCGTYGTAAGTGAATTTCAAGTAATCGACTTCGCTGTCCCAGGTTGCTGCTCGTKTGGCTTCGAGTGAGAAGGAGTGAGAGTTGAAGAGAAAGCCTAGAGCTTGAATCCATGTGAAGTCTCTGGCTCTGCCCGCCGGCCTTAGTCCAATGAACCGTGCATTGATCTGCAGATCAGGATCAGATACCAAGCTGAAGTGTTCATTACTTCTTCCATGGAAGTAGAACACAATGCCATCTGCACCAATGAACCTGGGGTCCAAGCACGCCGAGCCGGGTCCGTTGCAGTTTGGTTTCGTGCCTGTCATGACGCACAAAAACAAGTTACTCATCAAAAACTTCCTATATCATTCAACATCAAATTCGATACCATCCAGCCTTACTTTTGCACTCTGCTTTGCAGATGGGCGATTGGCAGTTGACGTAGCAAACTTTGTCGGTATGATTTGATGGCGATTTCGACGGGCATTCTGCTGGGCATGGCATCTCCTTGAAACGACAGGGGCTTTTGCTCCTGAAACACGTTATCTTATCAGCGCCATGGATCTGCAACAAACCAGACATGAGCACAAGCAAAATGATGGCAGTTTCATTTCTGCTAAATCTCCCCATGATCATCTTCAGCTTCTTCAATGGCAGCCACAGCCAGAAATATGGTCAAGCACATGTTTCTCCTCTTTCTTTTATAGAAGCCATTGAGAGGGAAAGTGGGTATTTTCTTAGACAATTAAGTGCTTTTGAAGCAAGTGAATTCTACCATTTTTACTCTGCTTCTAGTTGAAGTTTTGAGTTTCATTAGATTTTGATAGTGTTGCTCAAAAGGATTTTTAATCTTTGGTCAACTCTTTGGGAGTTGTAATTTTTTAGTTGAAGGAATTTAAAAATGAACATCTTCTTCAAGGATGAAGCTGGCTAGAAAAGGCTAAAACAGTTGATGAACCTTCAAAATAATTAGGGAGCACTTGGGCAAGGATTTCTAATTTTTAGTTAACTTTGGTTGAGAATTTGAACTTCTGACCTTTTTGTTAATAATATGTACTCTAATTAGTTAAAATTATGCTCAGGTTAGTTTTTGAATTTATAGGTTCAATCGTTATTATCGAGTCAAAATTTCATAAAAGTTAAAACAGTCTGTTACACGCTACTAATCTAAAACTCATGAACTCATAAATTATATAAGTTAAACAARCTAATSGCACAAATGGATAATTAGAGATCTCAACTCCAAACCATACAAATTTAGGCTTTCTTAAGCCATTTTCATGATAATTATGTTTCTAAAATTTATGCACTTGCTTTCTTATATATATTATTTTTATAGGTTTTTCACCTCTTCTCAATATATATTCGAGTCCTTAGCCAAATTTAAAAAGCAAAATAGAAATAAGATTTTTGAAAACTACAGATTAGTTGGATAATAATTTTGCTTTTAGTTTCATGTTTTTTAAATGATGCCTACTTTACTCTCAAAATTTTTTTCTTAAAGTTTTTCACCCTGGGTAAAAACAARTTTGAATTCTTAGTTAAATTTCATAAAAAAAAAATAAAATTTTAAACTACTATTTTTAGTTTTTAAAACTTGGCTTAATTATATTTTGAAAAAGCCTTCAAAAATAGATTACAAAACAAAGATATTGTTTAATGTTTATAAGTTTAGTTTTAAGAATAGAAAGTCAAAAATCAAAATAGTTATCAACCAGCGTCATTTGARGGAAAAAAAAACAAAATGATTATCAAGCGGACCTTAAAAATTCTTTTTTCAACATAATCAACAAATCCCTCCCRTACCATCTCTAATAATCTTAATTGAACCAAGGAGATGTTTGGAAGACAAATTGGATAACATATATGAGTTTTTTTTCGATTATTTCACCATTTAAAAATTATAAACTTTTAAATAGTAATTTGTAGTACACAATAAACCTTAACTTTTACGAGTCATCTGATACGKCAAACACACGCTTAGAATTCAAAGACGAACGATTCTTGTTGTTCACACGAGATTTCCAGAGAAATTATATTTCGTGGAGTATATTGTTTATATGTATTGTATAGTAGATTCAATCTCTAATCTTTATCCTCTGATTCTTTCTCTCGACTTGATGTGAAGATATTTGTCATTGAATTTGTTCAAGTCTTCAGAAAGTCTTCAATTTAGTATTCTCCAATTCTGAACTCTGAAAATAAATAAGGTCCCCCCTATTTATAGAGGTTTCCATAGGTTTGGTAATTTTAAGTCAAACCCAATTCTTTAAATGGATTTAAATTTATTTAAATTTAAATATTAATCCACCTGTCTCATGCTAAATTGAGTTTTGGACAAAGTTTGTAAACCAAATTGATTTCAAGCCCAGTTCTCATATGACCTAATTATATATTCTAATCAATTTATCTTTAATTTTAATTTAGGATTAATATATAATTAATCTCTTATTAAAATAGATAATGACGTGATATAATTGACCCAAAATTTATGGTTATGCACTTGTAAGACAACAGCCTTTAACACAGATCAAACTAAGTTAAGTTATTTTGTGTTTTGTTTAATGGATGAAACTTAAAACTAAATCCTGATCATGTTTGAAGGGTTCAACTTTTGACAATAATGAGAAATAGAGTAGAAAGCCAATCACCGACCAAGTTCACGTGGTTGCTTCCTTTGACATGAAAATCGCCATGGATTCTTCTTAATCTCTCTGTCTCTGTCCACTCCATGCATCCTTAGTTTCCTCAAATTCCACCATGTAATCATGTTCCAATCCCAAATTTCTACGGCAGGAATAAGCAGGAAATAACTGAAAATTTGGAAGAAAGCGACAAAATAAAGAAAGCATAAGAATTGAAGTGAAAAACTCGAGACCGTAGAAAAAACCACGATTCGTAATAATTCATTATGTCAAAAATTATTATACTCACACATATTTCTCCCCCCGATCTCAGTTACACAAAACACTTCCTCCAAATAAATACCATTTAGTTAACTACAGTTGGTATACGAGGTTTAAATATTTCAGTTGGGGTAATTAAAACCCAATTCTAATATTTTGTCAAAACTCAACAAATTCCTCTTAGAGATTTATTTGAGTTGATATAGTAAAATTGTATCGACTTACCTTCAATGTGAATATTATTACATTATTGTGAAAATATAGAGAGGTCTGTGTTGTCTAAACAAGTGTAAAATTGTGTGAATTTTGGATGTTGGAGGTAAAATAGCAAGCTTTAGAGATGTGGTCTAGGTAGAATTGTTAATGGTCCATCAAAGTGGTTGACGTGAGTTATAATATCACAATGTGATATGTGCTTGAGCTTTATTAGATGGACAATGTGCTTCAAAGAAGAAAAGTTAGTCGGGATAGAAGTTCATTTTTTACGCATCCTAATGGATGAATGAATGACTATGTGAGAGATGACGATCCTTTGTTTGAGGATCAATCGTTACAAATGTAAATGAGTAATATCCTCGATATATAAGGTACAAGAAAAATGTCTTCGTTTGAATAAAAATTTAAGTTGGGAGATAATTTGTCACATTTTATTTATGTTATAACTAACTAATGACCAAAGTATTAAATATCCGTCAACATGTTCATATTTCCATATGTCCATATATTCGACATCAATATAAAAGTAAATAGACATTTTTATAATATTGAAAAAAATGACAAAATATGAAAAATATCAACAAATCACTAATATAGACATAATATTAATATTAACTATTTTCTATATTAATATTAACTATTTTTAACTTATTTAGAAAATTTTGAGATTAGATATTTTTTACAATTTTTTTTTTGGTTGTAGAACTTTTTAAAAATATCAATTTTCACATTTCAATCCACCTCAATATTTAAAAGCTAGTATATTTTGATTATATTTTAGTTTTTAAACTTACCTAAATTTTGAAAACGTTTCTAAAAGTAAATTATAAGAAGTTAGTAAATCAAACATAATTAAAAAAAAAAGATAGAATCATTATAAATTAAACGAGCCTAACTTTTTAATTCTTTTTTTCCATTTAAAAGAAGTAAAAACATTGCTTTTTAATTTGACCCAAACATTTATTAAATTCAAATTGACTAAAAATTCAATTCTAAGTTTAGACAGTTCAAGGGGTTTTTGTAATTATTATTTAACAATTATTTTTTAAAAAATAAAATAGGGGTCAAATTTAAAAATACGAATTGTTCAGATACGGCGATTTAAAATGCGAATATTGGAACCGTCTGCTACAGTAATTTCTGTTGCTCAAATTTATCTGCCATCAAAATAATTCTCTCTCTTTTCTCGAACTCGTTTCGCGTAAGAACCCTAATTTCTTCTTTCTTCTCCGTTAATCCTTGGCCTTAAACCCATCCAGGTGAGTTGCCCTAATTGTATTCGTCGATTCCATTCCAGACTTGGCCTTGAGATTGGCGAATTTCGGTTATCCCATTTGCTCAGCTTTATCAAGATACGTTTTCTAGCTTCTTTTCCTTTTTGGTTGTAATCTCGTTGTTTACGTCAGGGGCTGTGATTTTCTTTCGTCTATCTCAAAGGTTCTAGTCGATTACGAGCAGTATTTTGAGGAATTGTACCAGCCGAAGTGGATTTTCCGTTTCATTTTCTTGTTGCGTTGAATGCTGAAATACTTAAGCAGAGGCGGCAGTTTTATTTTTGAGATTCCTGAGTCTCTCATGGAGTTTCTGGACAGTTGTGTATGATTGATTAAAATTTTACCAAGTATGTAGGGAGTGGTGAGCGAGATGGGTTTTCTTTCCTTGATGGGATTCTGAAGATTAAATGTTTGGAAGGATTGAATATTTTTAGGGTTGTGTTGTAGAATGATGGATACCACCCCTGGTTTAGTTTTAAAACGTTCTTTGCGAAAGAAAGCCAGTGCGCGAAATTATGATGAGGATTTAATGGATGAGCTTATGGAGAAGCATTTAGGCGGTGTTTCGAAGAAGAAGAGCAAAACGGCTGAGGATCTAGAGAAGGAGACTGAAATCGAGGCTATGATAGCACTATCTCTTGGATTCCCTATTGATGCTTTGCTTGAGGAGGAAATTAAAGCTAGGGTGGTGAGAAAATTGGGTGGGAAAGAGCAGAACGATTATATCGTCGTTAGGAATCATATCCTCGCAAGGTGGCGGGGTAACGTGCAAATGTGGCTTTCGAAAGGACAGATTAAAGAAACTGTGAGCAGTGAGTATGAACATTTGATTAGTGCAGCGTATGATTTCCTTCTGTACAATGGATATATAAACTTTGGGGTGTCACCAACCTTTACATCCCAAGTGCCCGAGGAGGGAACTGAAGGATCTGTGATTATTGTTGGTGCAGGCCTCGCGGGGTTAGCTGCAGCTAGGCAGCTATTATCATTTGGCTTTAAGGTTATTGTTTTAGAAGGTAGGACTCGACCAGGTGGCAGAGTTTATACACAAAAAATGGGGCAGGAGGGCAATTTTGCTGCTGTAGATCTTGGTGGCAGTGTCATTACTGGTATCCATGCTAATCCTCTTGGAGTTCTAGCTAGACAACTTTCAATTCCACTTCATAAGGTCAGAGATAATTGTCCATTGTATAAACCTGATGGGACGCTCATTGGAAAAGATATCGATGCCAAGATTGAATATATTTTTAATAAATTGCTAGACAAAGTGACTGAACTGAGAAAGATTATGGGAGGATTGGCTAATAACATTTCTCTTGGAACGGTTCTAGAAAAACTCAGGCAATTATATGCTGTGGCGAAGAGTAAGGATGAAAGACAACTTCTTGATTGGCATCTAGCAAACTTGGAATATGCAAATGCAGGATGTGTTTCGAACTTGTCTGCCGCGCATTGGGATCAAGATGATCCTTACGAAATGGGTGGAGACCATTGCTTCCTAGCAGGGGGTAATTGGAGGTTGATAAAGGCATTATGTGAAGGAGTTCCCATATTTTATGGGAAGGTTGTTGACACTATCAAATATGGAAGTGAAGGAGTAGAAGTAATAGCTGGAGATCAAGTATTTCAAGCTGATATGGTCCTGTGCACAGTACCGCTTGGGGTTCTGAAGCGAAAGGATATCAGATTCAAACCTGAGTTACCTAAAAGGAAGCTGGCAGCAATTGAGAGACTGGGTTTTGGATTATTAAATAAAGTTGCAATGGTCTTTCCTCATGTTTTTTGGGGGGAAGACCTAGATACATTTGGATGTCTTAGAGAGCATTGCCATCAACGGGGGGAGTTCTTTCTATTTTACGGGTACCATACTGTTTCGGGAGCTGCAGTTCTTATAGCTCTTGTTGCTGGTGAAGCTGCTGAAGTGTTTGAATGCACGGATCCATCCATGTTGCTCCACCGGGTTCTCGGCATCCTCAGAGGTATGATCTCTCTCCGGTTTTGGTCGTGAATTTCCATATGAATAAGTCAGCTAGACTTCTCGTTTAACCCTGTTACCTCTTTTTCTACATAAAGGCATATTCAGCCCCAAGGGGATTGACGTGCCTAATCCAATACAGACAATATGCACAAGATGGGGCAGCGATCCATTGTCTTACGGCTCATACTCTCATGTTCGAGTCGGGTCCTCGGGCAGTGATTATGATATTCTTGCAGAGAGCGTGTGGAACAGGTTATTCTTTGCTGGTGAGGCCACAACTAAGCAATATCCAGCCACCATGCATGGTGCCTTCTTGAGTGGCCTAAGAGAAGCTTCATGTATTTACCATGCAACTAGGGGACGATCAAACTACTCAAGGAGGTACATGCCGAGGAATCACAGACTAAGTAATGATCTTCTGTCAGATCTCTTCAGGAAACCTGACATCGAGCTTGGAAATGTGTCGTTTATTTTCGATCCCTTGGTTGATGATGAAAAATCAATGGGTGTCATGAAAATCACATTCAGGGGCATGGGAGAAAGTTCTAACGAGGAAGAATTGGCCGAAATTTGTGAAGATCCTGCGCACCAACAGCTGCTGCTTTACACAATTGTATCCTGTGAGCAGGCACGTGAGCTACAACTCGCGATCAGAGAGGATGAAAGTAGACTGCCATATCTAGTGAAAGATTTTGGCCTGAAGCTGATGGGACCTAGCGCCTTGGTTAATATTGGTAACTCGTTGATTGCCAGTATTGCTGGTGCCCGAAGAGGCCGGGGCAGGAATCGGTTGTTTGCTGGACAACCACAACCTCAACCTCAACTGCAACCACAATCTCAACATCAGCCGCAACAACTGCAACCAGAATCGCAACCTCAACCCGAACAATTGCAACCCCAACCTCCACCACAACCGCAGTCGCAGCCTCCACCACATCCTCAACTGCAACCACAAGTACCACCACAACTGCAACCGCAACCTCCACCACAACCTGAACCTCAACTGCAACCGCAACCATAAATACTTCTGCTGCTATGGATATAAGAACCAACCCCTCTTTTGGAAATGAAAGTACCTGGAACACGTGGGGGTGCATTGCCAAAAAATGGCATGCCTGGGAAATTTTGAATGCCCAAGAGACGAGGAATTGGTTATATGATTGCTTTTCAGGATTTGGAGAAGTGCCATCTTTTCAGGCTTGCAAGTCTGAAGCAAACTGACTTGGTGGGTAGTAGAGCAATAACATCACCACGTGAAAACCTTTTGATTAGATCAATGACTGTAAGAAATCAATTTGGTGTCGAGTAGGAAACAGGAGTTACAATTCTTCCCTGTATTTTTTTTGTAGTTCAAATACAACTCTTTGTTAACTCACTGACTCCAAAGAAAAAAAGTTGTACTCTTAGGCATTCATAGTCTTACTACACATTTTGTATCTGTAATATAAATTCAATTCTTTCCTGGAAAGTTAGAACCTAGAAATCTTTTTCTTGCATCCCTTCGGTTTGGTATTGTATTTTATAATTATTAGTGCATGATAATATTGGTGTTTAGAGACTTTGAGGGATGTCAGAGATACCTTCTAAGTTCTAATATCGGGAGGTGATTAGATTTAAACGATTTATAAGTTCTTTTTAACTCTCAGTTAGGTCTTATCTTTTAGGATTGGGGCAGCCCCTTTATTTAGATAGAGTTGCTTTTTTATGTCCTTTATATATAATTGTTCCTTTTTATTTTTCTCAATAGAAAGTTGGATTTCTCTTTAAAAAAATAAAAAATAAAAAGTCAGTTGAAACTTAAAAATTCAAAGTTTTTTTTGTTGTCTCATAGCCAGAATGGGCTATAAAATGAGTGAAGTTTACCTAAGAAGAGATATAATGCAAGTAGTGAGTATTGGACACTACAATCATATATTATATATATATATACTTTTTTTTGTTGCTGTTAATCAGAGCATAGTTCAACTAATTAAGTTCATGATGCTAATTAGAGGTCTCAAATATTAGTTAATTATCCGGTACCAAAAGTAAAAATGATACATTTTCATTTTTCTACATCATGCCCATGCGAAATCAAACATAAGAATATGAGTATCATCAACTGTTACTGCGGGATCAAACAGTTAAGAAAAGAATTTGCTGTCAGCTAACTGTAAAAACTGTCACAACCCAATGTGAGGATCTGTAATGTCTTCCCCTCGCTACAGATGCTCCCATGAAGCCATCAGAACCCATCAATAAAGTTTCATATACGGTGAAAGCTCAAGGTGCTGCATTCTGCACGAAATCGATGCAGGCACGGCAATGGCAATCCAAGAATCGGCACCAGAGGCATCCGAAGCACACACAAGATGTGCAGCCTCTACACCTTGATGATCGTGGACAGCCCCGAGAACCCTTTCGTCGTTGCATGTTATTCTAAAACGCGGAGAAAACCAGTGTCATTTTCTAAATCAACTCTAAAAAATGCAACAGACAGAAGTAGTACACAAGGAGAATAACAGTTACATGTCACAGGGTCGATCAGCACATTCCCATGTGATCTGATGGGCCATTGCATCATGGTAGATCCGGCATTGGTCTCGAGTTCGGAGACGAAAGCGCCGCTCCTTGCCGCATTTGGAGCAGCGGATGAACTCGTCACGGTGGAAGTTGCGGCGGCGGAGGGCACCGGAGGTCCAGTTGGCCACATTTGCAGAGTGATTGTAGTATTTGAGCAAACAAGTTCTCCACAATGGAACTTTCTGTCCTTCAACTGATACCCAAATGTTACTCTTCCATTTCTTCATCCCTTCTCTTTGGGAATGCTTCTCAAACTCCTCTGGTGTCAGCCCCCCTGCTCAATATTCAACCCAAAATTAAAACAACTTTCAACAACAACAACATTTATGGTTTAAAAACGAGCTTATTCCTTTAGTATGTAATGATTTTAGCATGGTAACGAAAAACGTTACTAGCTACGAAACATTTTTGTTCTTAGCCTCTTTGGCGATTGTTCCTATGGCGATTTAATAATTAAGGTTTAAGAAGAGTTTAAACAAATAGGTGTCACCTCGAAATTTAAACATGTATTACTTAATATAAATTTATAACTACATTTTAAAATATTCAATTAGTGAAGTGTCGTGTTAAAATTCCAACAGAAAGAAATAAGATAATAAAAAATATAAATAAACGAACTAAAATGGTCACATGGGACAAAAACCAATCGACCAAAATTGAAAGTACAAGTCTCGATATATGTCTTAATCAGTTTAACTAATGTTAACTTACAACTCACCAATTTAGAAATTAAATGGACCGAATCATTATAAAGTTAAACATAGAACGCCTAAATTGTAACATATTAAATTTCATAAAATAAACCATCACGAAAAATACAGAGGAGAGAGAGAAACTTGCCGGCGTTACAGTGATCGGAGCAGAAGCAGGAAATGAGGAACTGACCGGCTTCCGAAACCGTAAGTTTTCCGGTGGAATCGCCAAATTTTTTGCTGGTGCAGCCGCATTGGACCTCTATAAAGTCAGATCCTCTCACAAATCCTCCCATTTTCTTCACCTCTTCCTCCTCCAACATCCTCCATCTAATTTCTCTCATTAATTTCAACCCTAATTTCTTCTTCTTCTTCTTCTTCTTCTTCTAATTCTTCTCTCTGGTTTTAATCTGTTGCGTTCCTTTAATTAAACCCCAATTATATACCCGGATTCATTGGGAATCGTATGTTCGTTCTTAACATAAAACAATTCACTTTCCCACAAAAAAAAAAAAAAAAACCTAATTTCAAGGATCGTATGAATTTGGCTGTTTATATTTATAGGTTCTTGTTCTCGTGGAAAATATGCGTACAGAAAAACAAAGGCCACGACTTACGTACGTTCAACTTTTCTTTTTATTTTTTCCTCTCTTGAAGAAATCTTAAACATGAGGTGAAGATTCAAACGATAGCGATGCTGTGGTTGATGTCAAAACCTAGAAATAAAAATAAAAATAAAAATAAAATTTTACCCCAAACTTTGATGAGGTGTATCATTTTTTATTATTATCAAATTGCACCAAATAAGTAGTGAGAGGAGCATGGATTAATAGTCATTTTTTCGTTATTGTCAAATTGATTGATAATCAATATGTCAAGAATATTGTTTCGTATCAAGCATTTGTATAGAAGGAGAAATGGGTTATATCATTTTTTGGTGGATCCGTAAATTATTGGGCCGAGTTGGATTTGAAGAAACGTAGACATATTGTCAACGAATTTACAATCCGTCCTCATTAACCGTTCGAGCATCGACTCGAGAAGAATCAATTTCGAACTTATTGATAATCCATTATCAACTTCCTTTCGTAGTACCCTACCTCCAGGGGAAGGCGAATCCATGCAGATAATTAGATTTAGACGAGTGTTACAACTTCTATACTAGGTTTAAATTTTATTTAATTTTAAAGTATGAGACATATACCTTCTTTTAAAAGTCGACACTTGTCAAAGTCTAAGGTCGAATTCAATGAAATTGAATGTTTAAGATTAAAAAATGATATGTAGTACAAGTTAGAAGTTTAGGGGTAAAATTGATTTTTTCTAATTAAAATTAATGGATGAAATTAGGTTTAACAAACATGGTACATTTGAAATTTTGTTAATCAAACAATTAAGTAAAATATAACTATAAAATAGATTTTTTTTCCTTTTTAATGTAATATTTAGAAATCGCTCAAGCAAAATGTTTGAAATTTTAATTCAAAGACTGAAATATTAGTCTAGATTCCATTGCTCTAATATTAATTATTAATTCAAACCAATGATCACTAAATGCTATAATTTAGATCACATTTGATCTACACAGCATATATGTTTAGTATTATATTAGATTTAAAAGTACGTTTAAATATATGTTTAGTATTATCTAATTCTTTAAATATATATTAGATTTAAAAGTACATTTAGTGTTTTCAATTTTGGTGAAGTTTTTTTAAAAATTTGATCATAAATTATACAAAAATTATGCTATTAGGCTGATAAGCTCATTTTTCGAAAAGAACAGAAAAAAAAAAATCAAATGGGTCTTAAAATTGTAATGATATATATTTAAATTAAAAATATTGACGATACTAGAATCTCAGCAGCATTACCACAGGTAAAGTAAATAAAATTGCAACATAAATGCATTGATGTGTATTGAAAAATAAAAGGATCTAATTGATCAATAATACATACCAAAGTTTATCCCCTCCTAAAAAAACACACATACCAAAATTTAAAAAATTTGCTCTCCAAAAATAACATCTAACTTACAAGTTATCACAAATTTAGTCTTTAAAAACCTAATCATGGATTATAAAACGGATTAAACAAAGGTCAAAATGGGCTTAAATATTCCGAATTATGAAAAAAAAAATTATTGACAAAAATTGAGGCATCCGTCTTAGGGTGGGTTGATGAAAATTATTTTAAGGCATGAATGGAAAGGAGGAAAAGACAAATAACAAAGAAATCCAAAACAATCAAAGGTAAACACCGTGGTTTCTTGATAGATTTCTTATAACGAGGATGAAAATTGTCTTTCTTCATTCATCAGTCTTGTACTCTGTTATTCTCTTAGCTTCCATATATATGTACTCACGCTTTTAGTCGACCCGACTCTCTTCCACAAATTTTCTCTCATAAACATATTCATTTCGTGAACTATGAAATTTTATTGCTGGACTCCTCTGACTTTTCTAAGATTTTTTTTTATGTTGACTTTTCTAAGATTTGAGTTAAAGAGGGTGTGTTTTTTAAGGAAAACGGATTTAAGAGATAGAGTTTTGGTTATAATGATGGAGGAAGCAACGTATGACTTTTTCTCACAATATGTGACTTCCTTCCATCGTAACAAAAACTCTATCTCTTAAATCCGTTTTTCTGATCTAATCGAGATAATTTTGAATGTGATTAAACAATTTCAAAGGTTAAGGGTTAAAATAAAATCTTTAAAATGATAAAGGCATAATTGAAATTTACCCTCTTTCGAACATTATTGAAGCTTGCTAATACCTATGCCACATATATCATTATTTACAAATAACCGTCACGTCCTTTCTCTGTATTCATTTTAACAAAAAAAATGGTTAATGAAAGATAATTTTGAAACAAGTTTAAAGTTTAAAGTAAAAATGAAACTTTTGAAAGTTTAAACCATTATGGGTTGACTTATTAGTCTAAAAAAGCCAAAGTAAATCAAAAGGATTTAGAGGGAATAGGTTCAAACCCAATAATGACCACATAGTAGGGTCAAACATTGTGCTCTACTTTCAAAATGTCTACTTTAGTTATCCTACTTTCAACCTTTGTTTAACGTGTAGAGGACCTGCAAATTATAGTAGAGACTCCAATACTAAAGTCAGCAAACACTCAAATCAACTCAAGAGAGAATTGGTTCGATTGTGTACCTCAAAATGGAGAGGAATTGTTCTATTTATAGGCAAAGAACTCGACAAGGTCGCCGACAAGGTCTCAACGGCTCTTTAAAATTGCCGTGAAGTGTGACATGCTGTCGTGGAGTTTGTCGGATAACGGGCTGAGCCGAAGTAGTCAAGTTGAATGTTTGGTCGGCTCGGCCGCTATACATGGTCGGCTCGGGATTGTCTCTCACTGTCGAGGTAAGTATAATTGCGTGAAAAGACGTGTATGACGAAGATTCAACCATATCATGTCACGTGTAGGTCGATAAATCACCTCCAATACTTAATAAAAATATTTTAATATAAATTTATAGCTACATCTTAATAAATTTAGTGAGTATTCCCTAAAATTTTTTATAGAAATAAATAAGATAAACTAATAAACGCCTATTAAAAATACATAAATCCTAAAACTGGAAATTACATGGACTAAAAGTATTAAAAGGAAAAAAAGGGTAAAAGTCTATTATGTATCTTTGGGCATTATTGTCAAATTAACCAGATATTTACCGTGAAGAAGAAGAAAGGTGGTCATTTTTTATCTTCATTGTTCAAGCCGCGACTTGGCGCCTCTTTCAGTTTCTGGAGCAACATGTGGGGCTTATCCTGCTCCTCCCTTGCTTATCCTTCGCCTAATTTCAGACCTTTCGCTCCGGCAGCAACCCTTCGCTCCGGCACTTCTCTGCCGGTGCCCGTCGATCGGAATCATTACACTTCCGACACCCCATTTGCTCCGGAGGTAAGAATCACTCACTGTAGTGTACTTACGCATCACTAAAAGATAACCATCAATGTGATTTCTCCCTTTTTCTTTTCAACCGGCGGGGTTTCATTTTGATTTTTCTTTAGAAATCGGAGCGGAAGCGAAATCTGTCAAATACCTAACCTAAGCTCGAGTAATGTAACTGAATTTATCAGCTTCAGCTTTATTTTCGAGTTTAGTGATAGTTTATTATGGTATGGAGCTTTGGATTTAGCTTTATTTTTTTTGTAACTAAATTAGTCGAGATATGCAAACTGGTCCGGAAAATGTAAGAAGCAATTAAGTGTTGATAAATATTTTTGTAAGAAGCAACGGAATGTTGATAAATTCTTTTGGAATTGAGTTAGAATCTGATTCTTGTTGGTAGGTATTAGGTAAGGTGTAGATGAATCTATACAGCATGTATTAGAATGTCTGGTGTAATCTATATGGGTTCCGTTTTGAACTTTTGATCAGCAGGTTGTTAAGGCGGTAGACTCCTTGCAGTATGAATTCAGAGCAGTGGATAATCTGGTGGCACGTAATACTGCTAAAGTTCTCAAAGCCTTTCAGAACGCTCGGTTAGGATCTCATGTTAGTAGATAAATTCTTGCCAAAGCAATATTTCGAAATGTTATACAAATAAACAAACTATTGAGTGATGCTTGTGCGTTTCGAAGGAATTGATGTCGTCGATGTTGTCAAAATATACATGTTTCTTCCTTGGTTTATATCTCTGAGGCTTATTTGTTTCTTGTGAAGCAATAATAAGTATTTTACTTTTCAGTTTTATTGATGAGTATGGTTGGTGTTTCTTAAAATTTTACAATCAGCATTTTGGCGGATCCACTGGTTATGGCCACGATGAAGCTGGAGGGCGTGAGGCACTTGACAATGCTTTTGCTGAGATAGTTGGAGCAGAATCTGCAATAGTCCGATCACAGGTTTTCTGCTACTATTAAATTTATGTATTTATGTTAGAAGTAATTACTAAGTTTGGTGATTATGGTACTCGAAAGAAAAAAAAAGTTTGGTGATTATGGTTTCTATACCGTCAGTTTTTCTCAGGTACTCATGCCATTACATGTGCCTTATTTGCACTTTTGAGGCCAGGGGATGAGGTGAGTAGAATTTAGTAATAATTCAATTCATTTTGCACCATATGCATTGTCCCCTTGAGATTGAATATGGTTTGAACTAATTTAACAATCAGCTTTTGGCGGTAGCTGGTGCTCCATATGACACACTAGAGGAGGTCATAGGAAAAAGAGATTCTCAGGGGCTGGGCTCCTTGAAAGATTTTGGAGTAGACTATCGAGAAGTTCCAGTGAGCTAAGCCTAATAGCATCTGTGCAAATAAAACAATCTGTTGTAAGCTTTTTTGCCCTTTCTCATTGATTTTTATGGTTTTCTTCTTCAGCTTGCCGAGGATGGTGGACTTGATTGGGAAAAACTTGCAAGTTCTTTGAAACCTCAAACAAAATGTGCGCTCCTACAAAGGTCGTGTGGTTATTCTTGGCGTCGAAGTTTAAGTGTTAGTGAAATAGGAAGAGCAATAAAACTGATTAAGGTAAATCTTTTGATCGCATTTTCATAATCTTTGGGGTGAATGGTTGACTGGACGGTGTTTTTTATAGCCAATTTCTTGTTTTTTGTGGTTAGGATAGTTCATCATTCTCAGATGAAGTGTCCTCCCTTCCCCCTAAACATATGCTGGGTTAACTTCAGATCCTAAGTAATCGGGTTGAATATTAGATTTTTCAAAATCACTTTCCTATGTTGCATAAAAACCTTTTGTGAGTGCTATAACAAAAGGCTTTGTTTATTGACATCATAAATTTTGCTTCTCCTATCTTTCTCTCTTTTCCTCAATACTATCTCAAACTTACTCTAATCCCTCTAATTTTCATTTTTCACTCATCTCCACTCTCTGGTTTTTATTTACTTGGCCCTCTGCCAATGTCAATACTAAAACTAGAATGAACATATTTCATCCATGATGTAGTATGATTTATGGCCACTAGTTCATATTCTCAGTATTATCAGAAAAAACAACCATGCCATCATCCAAGTGAACTTGAAGAAATAATATTAGTTCTTCTCGAGTTTTCTTCGTATGCTTGGACAACTCATCCAGTAAATATCATACATTTGCTAAAAAATTTCAGAAGCAAAACCCTGATTGCTTGGTGATGGTGGATAACTGTTACGGAGAATTTGTGGAAACCACTGAACCTCCAACTGTGGTAAGTGATTTCAGGCTCCTTTCTCCTGCTGAAGAATAGCATTTCTATCAGTAATGGTGGGAAGGGTGCGGACTTAATTGCAGGAAGTCTGATAAAAAACCCTGGTGGAACGCTTGCACCTTGTGGCGGATACGTTGCAGGTCGAGACAAATGGGTAAGAGCTGCTGCAGCTCGTTTGTCTGCACCTGGCTTGGGCGTGGATTCGGGCTCTACTCCCGGTGATATCATGAGGACATTTTTTCAAGGGTTATTCCTTTCACCTCAAATGGTTGGCGAGGCAGTTAAGGTAATTTTGATTCATTTTTCCTAGTTCTACCTTCTGAGTTGAATCCTTTTGTCTAGAGGAAAACTTCTCTCTTTCTTGATAACAGGGAATGATTCTAATAGCTGAAGTCATGGCATCAAAAGGCTACAAAGTGCAGCCGCTCCCACGCTCGCCCCGTCACGACACCGTTCAGGTCTACTGCGTCATCCTCTCTCTATATATATGGAAGACATTACACCTTTATAAATTCTCATATTCCATTCAGGCAGTAAAACTCGGAAGTCGTGAACTTTTACTTGCATTCTGTGAGGCTGTACAGAGAAGCTCCCCCGTGTCTTCGTTTACCAAACCTGTTCCGGGAGTAACTCCTGGATATGCATCAGAGGTACATTTATCAACCTTAATTCTTTCATGAAACTTCTGTCCTTTCCCCTCCCAATAGTAGCATACAAGAATAAGCTCCCTCACATCGAACTGATGGAAGATGATGACTGCTGACTAAAACTAACATGAGAAAGTGGTTCAAGCTTCCTAGTTCTTACAATCATTAGTTGCAATAAAAATCGACTTTCGAAGCTTCGATGACATAGTTTTTCGAGTAGCTTGCTGCCTTAGTTTGAACCCTTTTTACCATAACAACAGGTGATCTTTGCTGATGGGACTTTCATTGATGGAAGCACTAGTGAACTTTCATGTGATGGACCTCTCAGAGAACCATTTGCAGTCTTTTGCCAGGTTTGTGCCATTTTTTGAATTAAAACCCAATCCATGCAATGGTTATGAATTTGTTTGTTAATAATTTTAGATTAAATTACAGGTTGGAACCTTTGATAACCATTTTATTTTTTTGTTTTTAAAAATTATGATTGTTTTTTTTACAATTAATTAGCAATTTTTTATCCTCCTCATGAAAGTATATGTGAATTCTTAACCAACTTTCAAAAACAAAAATAAATTTTTGAAAACTTTTTTTTTTTTCAAAATTTTGTTTAGATTTTGAAAATGTTTTTAAAACCCATATAACAAAATAAAAGAACATATGTTTCTAAAATTAATTATTAAAAACAGAAAACTAAAAATAAAATGGTCATCAAACAGGGCGTAAATTTGTCTAATGTGTCCCTAAACTTTCACTGGTATGTCTAATGATTTCATGAACTTCTAAAATTGTCTAGTAGGTCTCTAAACTTTCATTGTTGTGTCTAATAGATTAGACATTTTTTTTAAAATTGAATGCAAAATTGAAAGGTCTCAAAGATTTGTTAGACGCTTTTAATCATTCATGAATACATTTGATACAACTTTGACAAGAACTTGTAATTTAACCTAATTTTTATTTATTTGTTTGATAGAAAGTTTACTTTTAACCCATGCATCCTGAAATTCTTATGAAGTGGGAATTTTCTGGTGCAGGGTGGAACACATTGGACTCAGTGGGGCTTAGTACTAGGAGAAATTTTGAAATCTATATAGAAGAAGCTCTAGTTACACATTACAAACCCACTTCAGAAACTTCCTTTAAAGATCTCATAGAATTTTCTGCCATTCATACAGAGCCAACTCATCCAAAAATTTGTAGAACATAGGGACAGAAATGTCTTTCTGTCAATTTCCTTGATCCAAATAAAACTTTTTTTTTTGTGCTATGCTTTCTGAGTTGTTTAAACAAGGAATTGATGTCGGTGCTCGAGTCGAGCATGGTAATGGTTCAAGATAGGAGCGTAAGTAGGTCGGGTTGGATAGTTTTATTGTACTGTGCCTCATAGGTATTGTTTTTGAAATTTTAGGCGTTCATTACTTGATAACTAGGTAACAAGGTATTACAATTAATTCGAGAAGTTATTGAGCTTTGTAAATAAAAAATATATATTGTCATTGTCATACTGTATTATGTATTCTACAATATGGCCATTGATTTATTCTAAAGAGCTACTTTTGCGTGATAACAATATATAAATAAGATATGTTATAATATAATATAATGTCAAATAGGTCGATATTTGAAATATCTCCGCTAGCCATGACGAATAAAAAAAGAGAGAAATATTTCATTACGAAACATTGTTAAAGATCTTACGTTGAAAAGATGGACCTTAAAAGAATTTATAATAGACACGAGCTATTCATATCACTACAAATTCCATGAAATAAGCATAATTTGAAATGTATTTTTAAAAATATTAATGTTTCCGTTTTCAAGTATGACACAGATTTTAATTTTGTTGATGTATTTTCTATTACTTTGAGTTGACTTTGACTTGAATTATGTTATTTTTGTAAAATTTTAAATTTTGTTCTATATATGAAAATAGTATCTATTTGATGCTATTTTTACAAATGCCTAAGAAAAAATCGACGCAATAATTTCGTTAATCAAGCATTTAAGAAACTAATGTAAACTCAAACGGTAATTAATTTAGCCCGCCACAAATTTATTTATTGATACAGATACTTTCATAACTCAAAAGACTTACAAAAGAAAATTACTGAACACAAATTTAAGTATTAAGAGTTTATGTTTTACTTAAGAAATAATTTAAAACTTGGTCGGGAGGAAGAATCAAAGCATGCAACATGGGTTGAAAATAGATGTCGGCAACTGACTTCTGGTTATCGATTTGAAGAGCTTGTTTTGTTCGACTTGGAGTGTCAAATGAAGGAAAGAAATCCCTTAGCATGTCTCATCTGAGCTATGGGTCGGAGCATCCCTATGTGGATTTGGGAACGATTCAAGTGCAAATAATGGTTGTCGTGATTACCTCTATGATCCTAGTTGTAATTCTTGCAACGAGAAGACTCAACTTGACACTAATAAATACACCCTCGCTCTACTCAATGAGATATACAATTCTCTGTGAACCCAACCTAAAAATTCGAATCTTAATCCAACTTGAGCATCAAAGTGTTCTTTCTCTATTTGTAAATTTTCCTATTTAGCTTGCTCAATCAATTGAGTTCAGATAGATTTAGAGAAAACTAATTCTAAAATTTGTTTTAAGGAAAACTTCCTAAGAATTAAAATCATTATGCTCCAAATAAAAATAACAAAATATTGAGATAGTTTACTCCCACGTTAAACATTAAAAATGATTGATGTGTAGGTTAGAGCCTTGGTTTGCCCGAACAATGTAGTTTAAACACGTGCCTTAACCTAGGAGGGTCACGTGTTTACGTTCAGATTTATCTCCTAATTAAAATTATTATTAAAAACGTAATAAAAAAATGTCGAATTGAATCGGAAATTGGAATTATCTTATGAACAGAGATGCCGGCAGACGCAATAATTTACTTACGGATCGTGTCCAATTTACGTCGTCGTTTCATATCAACGAGTGGACAACGCGTTCGATACACGAGATTCACGAGTTGAAAGAAATTCAGACTTACTTTTTCGTTTACCAATTATTTGAAGTTCCATCTGTTGCGAAAAATTTTCTCAGAATTTGCTGGAATCAAGCATCGGAATCTCCAAAAAGAGCTTAAATTTTCAGGTTTCAGCTTCTAATCTGAATCTGGTAAGATTTCTTTCGCTTTCTTGTTATACAATCAGATTGAGTGTTGTGGCTCACTGTATTTGGTGGTAAGAAATTGGAAAAAGTAATCATCGCTTTGTGATCAGTTCACTTCACTTCGGTTTTCTACTTCATTCTCGAAGCTAGAAGAAGAGCTTCGGTCTTACTTTTGTGCGATCATGATGCCTTGATTACTCTCATCTTCCTCTTTTTTTTTTCTCCTGCTCTGTACTTTTTCTGAGATGGAAAAGTAGCCGAGATATTGAGAAATGTGATTGCGAGTGATCATAGTACGCTAGTTCGGTTATGTTGAAGCTTGACTTTCCGGATATGAAGGACTTAGATTCCTGCGGATTGTAGTTTTTATTAAAGATTTCTATCTATTAAGCGAAGTTACCAACTAGCATGCTTCAAGTTATATAACGGACTTCATTGGGCGACCTTGATGGTTGTCTTCTCTAGAAGAAACTAGGAAATTTTTTGTTTACTCGCTGCAAGTAACGATTTACTGCTGCTGGAACTGCAGAGGAGATTGCGATTCCTAAAAAACATTTTACTATGACAAGGGGATGCAGATGGTGTTAGTGTTATAGCTGAGACAAAAATTAGAATCTAACCATTTTAGTATTTTGGCTGCGAGAATGAGGAAGATGATCGAGATATAAGTGAATACCACCTAAAATTTCTTAACTCGGATCTGGCATAAAAAAATCCACTTATTTTATATGTATGTGTGTGTCTATATATTAACTAATAAGTGGTAGGTTGTATGTATATAGTCCAGGGGATAAACATATCATATCACCAAGATATGATACATATTTTAAAATTGTGAAGTTATGAACAATGGTAGAGATGGAATTAGGAAAGGGGAAGCAACTGTGAGCCTGTGACAGTGAAACTTCAAATTTAACTCTTTGCTCTAGCAGTGCTGAGTTGATTATGTTTTCAAATTCTTATTAAGCTTTATTCCAGTCTGCAGATCTCGTTTCTGGGTAACTTTGGTGGTTAGCATATCAGCAATCACAATGCATTATGGACAAATGATTTTTCTGGGAGTCACTTCCTCTGTCGTTCTTACTGCAGTTCTTTCATTATGGCTGCTTGTCCAACATCTTTCCAACTGGAAAAAACCAACGGAGCAAAAGGCCATTGTTATTATAATTCTTATGGCTCCTTTATATGCTGGTATCTCCTACATTGGTCTGTTAGAATTTATGGCAAGCAGTACTTTCTTTTTGTTCTTGGAATCAATTAAGGAATGTTATGAGGCTTTGGTAAGATTTCAATCCTGCAGAACTCTTGCGAATGAAAGATTGATTACTCGTAGACCGTAGTAACTTCCTAGTTTTTCCTTGCAGGTGATATCTAAGTTCTTGAGTTTACTCTACAGCTACTTGAATATATCCATAAGCAAAAACATAGTGCCCGATGAAATCAAAGGTAGAGAAATCCACCATACTTTCCCGATGACTCTTTTTCAGGTAAGATTTTTCTTCTCTCTTCTTATTTATATGATATTAAAAGCAGGCACATACTGAAAAGGTTATACGAGGTCATTCTTTTGATATTCAATTAAATTCAATACATCATGACAGATTGTTGGTACTAGAAAAATATGAAGCAGAAAGGTTATCTACGCTACTATGCTTCTTGAAACTTGTCATTCTTGTGTTTTATCTTCTCATACAAATAAATATCTGATCGTGATCAGTCAAACTCAGGAAAAGTAATACAAGTCAATAACACTTTTGAAGTATCCATGATGGCAATTGGCAACAATGAAGGGCTGGTCAGACAAACTAATTAAACCTTTAGAACAGTGAAACTAACCCATGTTGAGCTATTTTGTCGATTGACATTCACTCTGAAAGTGTTCATACTTACATGTGCATTGGCTGAATATTTAGTTGCTCAACTTAGATTTTTCTTGGAATATGATTAGTTTGGTTTAAAATACTTTTGGTCGGACTTACAGCAGTGGGTTGCAGGTTTACAGCTTAGTAAAAATAAACCAGTCACTTTGTTTCTTTGGGTTTTATTGGTTGGTCAGAGATTGACTTTGAATGTTGACACCCTATCAATTGCAGCCTCACAGTGCTCGATTGAATCATCACACGCTAAAGCTTCTCAAGTACTGGACCTATCAATTTGTAGTGATACGTCCTGTATGTTCAATCTTGATGATTGTTCTTGAACTTATTGATGTATATCCAAGCTGGCTCAGTTGGACATTTACTATCATATTAAATGTCTCGGTGACACTTGCTCTGTATGCTCTGGTGGTTTTCTATCATGTATTTGATAAGGAGTTGAAACCACATAGCCCTCTTGCCAAGTTCTTGTGCATCAAAGGGATTGTCTTTTTCTGCTTCTGGCAGGTAATTTTCTCGGTCCCAGTATCTCAGATTTTCATTTAGCTCAGTCATCTGAACATGTCATCATATTCCTTTGAAGTCGAGGTCTCATTTTCCCAACACAACATCTAGAACCAGACACATGTAACTGGGCCATAGACAAATGTACTTCTTGTCACTGTCAGTTGTATTTTTTTCCTAACTGATTTGGTGCTTTACTTGCATGGAATTTCATTACTCTCTTTGTAGCTATCGTAAAATCTCATGCTGACTCCACATCTACTTCTTTGTCCAAAGTTCTTTTTCATTTTCTCTCTTGAAACTGCACACCTAACTCTTTTTGCATCAAAATATTATACTCCAGAAACTATTCTGGGGTGAAGCAGTGATGATATTGGGCTCCATCACTTTGCATACTTCCATCCTACTAAAAGAAATAAGTTGCTATCGCACTGTAAATGTACAGTGTTAATGTAGTAACTTCAATGTCGGTAACCGGTCGTTTGTCATGATTGGTTGTAGTAGCTTAACTGACTTCTTCAGTTTGGTTGTTGAGTCAGTAATACAAACTATAAATATGGACGTCCAGTTCCATTACTTTCAGCTAATGAAAGACAATATTACATCTTTAGTTTCAAGTTAGAGATCATAATGAACGATAATTCCCACTGATTTGGAGGTGATCTATTTGGGAAGTTAACTGTCCTATTTGCTGATGTATATTTTATTGAGGCAATCTCTTACTAAAACTACCATTTCAGTCTTTCAACTAAAACAACTTAAATACTGTTTTATTTTTCAGGGAATCGTTCTTGAGATGCTTGCTGCAGTGGGCATAATCAAATCGAAACATGTCTGGTTCGATGTGGAGCACATAAATGAAGCCTTACAAAATATTCTAGTTTGTGTGGAGATGGTTTTCTTTGCGATGGTCCAGATATCTGCATACAGTGCTAGTCCCTATAAAGCTCAGTCTGCAGCAAAATCTAAACTGGAGAAGAAGAAACAGTGAGTTATCACTTGCGAATACGCATCAATACAGATGATTACCACGTTAAAATCGGATAATAAATCAGCTATAATGGTAGGTCTCAAACTTTCATGGATGCATTCTGTTCTTCAGCATCGATTTCATGTGATATATTGAGTGGTCTTTGGAAACTCTGTTTTGGCTAGTAGGACTTCGCAAGTGATATATTATTGTGCTGTACCTTTGTTGATAAAGTCGAGCTATCGGTATAAAAACTTCATTACTAGTTTATTCTTCTTTATTTTATCTATGTTGATGCTGATCAATCTGCTTGTGTTTGCCTACTTATTTTGTGTTTCTGTGCGAGTGTCTATAGCATGAATAGTGGACCTGACTGTCTTGTTTGTGAATCAGCTGATTAGATAGAAAAGAAAAAAATACCACTAGTTTTGGGAATATCTTCTCCTAACCTTCTTTGATATCTTAACATTTTGCTCTCTTGTTCGTGATAGTAATGTTGTTCCGTTTTTAGTTCCAGAGAAGATATGATTAGAATTTTGAGGGTGTTATTAAATATACAACTTTTCTTGTTTAGAGAATGCAATTAAAAAAAAAGGAAGATTTGAACATTTAATGCATTACTAGTTGAGCTATATTTAGATCATCTTATTTAGTCAAACACATACTTAGTCAAACACATACTCAACAAGCGGGAGACCTCTTTTTTTTTTTTTTAATAGGAAACAGAGAGGGTAGAGATAGAGAAAACCCACCTCAATCACTGATTTTCAATCTTGCATAATAAAAAGAAGACTACAATTACAAAAAACCCTCTTGTATTATGTTTAAAAAAGTCAAAGGGCAACCCTCGCTGCACAATTCCAAAGAACAAAACAAAAGTCTTTCCCTTGAGGGCATTCCCCCAAACCCTTGGGAGACCAAAGGAGAAGTCTAAAAAAGAAGCTATGTAATTCCAAGCTTTAGAAGCAAACTTGCAATGCATGAACAAATGATCTACACTTTCCTAGTTCTGCCAACACAAACTAAATCCCATCGGAGAAAGAGTCCAATGGGGGAGTTTCTTCTAAACTTTTTCTGTCGTCGATAGAAAATAGTCCAAAGAAACCTTTTTGGAGACTTTGAAGTTCCAGATGATAGCAGCTGTGGCCAAATTCAGTTTAGGAGAAGGGGCTGTGATGGCCAAAAAAGCAAGGGAGACCTAGAAAATGAATGGTAGTACAGAAGTGAAACCATGAATATTTTCGTAGTAAAACGCCTACGGTATGACGGTTGAGAACTCTCGATATTACATCACACACATAAGCAAATTCAAATTAATTGAAAAATGGTAGGAGATGAAAGTGATAGAAACCAAGAACGTTGGACATTCACACTGGAAGTAATTCTTTTCGTTCCCACAAAGTAGTTCTTTTTGTAACTTAAAGTTTGAGGATATTGATACAGAAACCATAAACTAAACCAGATGACCGACGAAAACTTAGGCCTGCAATATCCATTTCGTTTTTTATTTTCTGTTTTTAAATAAGTTTTTAAAATCTACCTTTTTTTTCTTTTAGTTTTCAAATTTTACAAACATTTTTAAATAGTAGATAAACAACGAAACACAAGATGGAAGTAGTATTTTTAGGCTTAATTTTTAAAAACGAAACAATTATCGAACGAGACCTTAGCAACTCTATATTCTTGTACTTGTACAGAGGAGTTCACTGCACCAACCAATTGCAAGCTAGTACTGGATCACAGAGAAAGCCCTGCGAATAGCAACTCCAGTTCCTCTTCCTGAGATGCAGTTCTCTGACCAAATAAAACGAGAGAAAATATGAAAAATATATCAAATACCAGCATCGAAACGATGAAATATCGCATTACTTACTACTCTATAAGAAATTTATGCAACCAAGAGAAGTTTATGACACTAAACATAGAGTATATGCTCTTTTGGACACTAAAGACATGTTTGGTAACATTCCTGTTTCCAGTTTTATTAAGAAATCTAAGCATTTGATAATATGTTTCTCGTTTCTCTTTTTTTCGAAACATTCTCAAAATTGTATATAAATTTTGAAAAACAAATTTTTTGTTTCTGTTTGTTTCCAATCCAATGATGGAGTTTCACATTTCCTCACTAAAATGAAAACTTCAAAATCAAGAGATGGGTATTAATCACCAAATCTGTAAATGATTATTATTAGAGAGTACCACTGCAAAGCATTCATACACAAGTACTAGCTTTAAAATGACGACCCATATAAATCAACAAATGGATAAATAACTAGACCATAAAGAACAATCACATTGACACCATAAGATACGAAAATCGCGACTAATATATCAATCTCCTCTTGGATCACAGAAATAGAAACAGCAAACTGCAGTTTTATGATACACACCTGAATGGACAAAAGCTGCAGAATTTTGTTTAAAACCCGGAACCGATGAGTAGCGTAGGCGCTGTTAGAAGGAAGCTGTTGAACTCGTTTCATTTCTTGATGAACTGTGACTGTCGTCTCTTCGTGTCCCATTTGTTTCCAATTGTTTTTAGGCGGGGCGCTGACTTTACTTTCCATTGATCTGTTGGTGGAGCAGAGGATCTAGACGTGGCCTTTGCAAGAAACCTACCCATCAAAACATATGAAGACAGTTCAATATTAGAATCCACGAGGGTTTGTAGAACTAACAAATGGCAGAGCATTGGATCAAGATTTTATTCATCTCCATCGAATTATACCAGAACAGAAAACGTCCCAAAATGGGATTCAAGTCATAACCCTGATTAATCTCAATAGCTAGAAAAGCAAAAACTTAATCTCCAATAATGAAAACCATGAGTACTACTCCAACTGCTGTCTAAATTCAGAGGTTTCAGCACATTTTTAGTCCTGCCCTCCTCTTATAACGTTTTGGTTCTTATACTTTCTTTTTAGCACACTATACTTAATAATTGTGATGCTGTCATGTAACAAAATGGCGTCTCTCGAGTGGGGCTCAACCCCCCTCTTCTTTATAGTCGTAAAATATCTCTCAAAAAGGTCGGGAGGCATTCGAAAAGCCGACCACTATACCATAGGCCTTCTGGTGAGAAGGCCTATGGCTACATGCACTCTATACCAAGTCATATCAGATGCAGCAATCGAGTCCCTAACACTATAAAATTTTGTTGTAGTCAAACAAAACATAACAACACGTAAATAATTGAATCACCTTCAAGCATTCCCATTTTTTTGGAGTATAATAAGGACTAAATTACTGCAAACTACGAGAGCCAAAACGTTACAAGAGCCTAAGTACTAAGAGTATATTCTAAGTCTAACTAAATTCAAAACATGAATTTGGCTACATGAAGCAGAAAACCCTAAAAAATTCCTTAGAACATTAGCCAATTCCATCGTTTGTACATTCACTGAGAAATCTGTTCTACTACCTGAGAAATACGATATGGCGGCTTCAAAGATACGAGCTACTCCTGACTCCTCCACCGTCTGATCGGAAAGAAGAAATAAAAAACGAAAACAGTCGCCGGAAAACAAAACAGAGAGAAAACGATTCCGAATTTCGCTCAACTAATTTAGTTTTAAGAATCAATTTTCAAGAGAAAAATAAACTCCGATATCTTATAAAACTATCGATNCCGGTTTCGTTATTGTTCGACCTCACCAACGACGGCGTCCACAGCAGCTGATGGAAATCTGAACAAGATTCACTGTTTCCTTTAAAAACGACCTCGTTTGAGATTCCAAGTCGGTATTCGGAAATGTGAAGTTAGCTGTATTATCAATTACGGTCCTTTTAACATTTTCAAATTTTATCTTTAATGTATTAAAATTTTGGATTAATATTATTTTGTTCCATTTATTTTCAATTTTCAAAATGTCTTTTTTAACTCTCATACCCTCAATTTTTGATAGTTTTAATAGTTTTAGATCTTGAACTTTTAAAATCTCTATTCTAATTAGGGGAGTTCATGGGTTGGATTTAGTTAGGTTAAACTACTATTAAACCAAACTCAATTGTTAAGATTGTAAATTTATTCAACACAAATAATCCTTATTAAATAATTAACCTAACTCAACCCAACCATGATATATTTAGTTTGGATTAATTTGGGTTATTGGAGTCACTTAAAAGTATTGTACAATATAAAAAAAGGTAAATGATAATATCTTAAATATTTATTTATATATTGTCTAACATTTTTAAAATGAGTTCTAATGAAAAAAGTACAAACTAAAACTTAAAAACAAAAAAGGAAAAATTGTCTTTAAAAATCGCGGTAAAATAAATAATACATAAAGAATTATTGAATAAAATAACATTAAAATAAACATAACTATATATAATTTTTATAATGAAAATAAATAGTTCTAAAATTAATAATAAGTTCATATTTGGTTCAATCCGAATTTATTTTATACGAAACGGTTGAACCAATCTAATTTATAGAATTTTCATTTATTTAAATCCAACCCAAATCGTACGGGTTAGATTGGATTGATAGATTTTTTTTAGATCATTAAATTTTTCAAACACCTTTAATTTTAATCCACGTATTCTTTAAAGGTGATAATTTTAAATAACGGGAACTTTTGTCTATCCTTATAAAAAAATTTACTCAACGTAATTCATATCCATATTAAAAGCGTGGGCTAAAGCTATAAAGCTAAACATCTTCAAAGAGAACTTTAAAAAAATAGAAAAAAAGATCTTCAAAGATAATATTTGAACTAAGATCTATGCCACGTGGAGGCCACATGGCCCTTCTTCCATATCCCACTTGTCACCCTAGTGGATGTTACATGGATTCTCCATTATCCTTCTCTTTACTTTTTTTCTTCGGTTGAGATTAATTTTAATTTGGTATTTGTTTATCTATTTCAAACTTTTTAGGATGTTAAGATAAAGTTAAAAACAATAGTGTTGTGGTGTCCATGAAAGCGACAAAAATGTAGGGTTTTAAATGTCAATATCCATGAAAATGTCGAGTGAATCTTAATGAAATGAAAATGTCAATAAAAATATCGATAAAATGTCGAATCTCTGTTTATCTACAAATTCTATTTAGTTGCACCATAGATGAAGAGTACATTTGATAGAAAATAATCAAACGAATTTGAAATTATACTATATAAACTAAAGATGAGTTAAGATTTGTTAGGATAATAACCAAAAGTAGAAAAGAGTATTATAAGTGGTGTACATGCTATCATTCAAATCGAATCGGGTTGTTTACCTTAATACGATGTTTTTTGGTACAACAAATATATTGGGGATGTGGATTAAACCTCTGACTTTAAAGAAAGAAACAAGATGCTTTAACCACTGAATATGCTTAATATTAGCACAAAATGATTATTAAATAGGGCCTAATTAGTACAATTTAATCAAAATCAATAAATTATCGTGAGATATGACAGTGTTGCTATATTTAAACTAGGGTAACTCGAACTAGTTTCTTTCATCATGTAATTTTAATTAGTATTACAATTCGAGCATAGAAGAGAGACATGAACCTAAACTTTTAAAGAATGTTATTGATACTTTAACGGGTCGAACCTCATATAGTGTTACTCTTGAATAATGTGTTAGTATGGTAGATGGCATGCTTGCCCCAAAATAGGCAGTTTCCATGCCATTCTCACCAAAGACTTTTGCAAGTTGAAATATGTCTTTTTGAAATGAATCTCAATAGTCCTTTTCAAGCCCATTGACCTAATAATTATTCAAATATTTTATTCTTATTAAAAAAAAAAAGAATAATTAAATAGATTGGGAATTCAATGCATTCAAAAAGACGGTAGTTCATAGAAATAAAAAATAAAAAAAAATCAAATTTTGATCTAACTAATTTGTTTAAGGATTTGAACATTGAACCTCAAGAGAAGCAGTTATATACATTTACCTGTTACTACATTTAATTAGCCTGCTAAACTATGTTCCTATTGATTTTTAATGGATAAATTAATTTATAATGAGATAAATATTTAATATTAAAAAATATGCTCACTCATAAAAAAAAATATATTTGTTTTAATTGCACACTACCATTGTTTTATTCTATTCTAATGAGTTATTAAAAAGAGACTTAATAATGGAAATATTTTGATATCTTAAAATGTTAAAATGACCAAAATTAAAAGTTGTGCAACCTTCAATCCCTTTATTTTATTTTGATCATCATGTCTCGACGTGTTAGGTTAAGTGCACTACATACATATAATAACAAGAATTATATAATAAAAATAGAAACTTAGGAACTAAAAAAATATTTAAAATATAATAATTAAATTGAAATAAGATTGGCCTAAATTCTTTTAAAAAATAAATCTTGATGCGTATATATTTTATCGATAGAATAAATAATAGTGTTAAGGCAAGCATTAAATAATTATCTTATAGATAAACACACTCAACACTTTAGTAAATATGAATGGTATAAAATTGAGCATAACTTTGCCCTAATAAGCTCTCTAAAAATCTGAGTTTTGAATCTTATTTTCATTGTACTAAATAAAATGTAAATAAAAAAAAAGAGAGAAAGTTGTAGAATGAACAAAATGGATATGTTTTAACTTTGATCAATTACATATGCGAATAATTCTTAGAATTTTCTTAAAAGTCGAGTATAAACTTTTATAAAATGTGATTTCAATATCTAAAAACAAGAAAATAATTATTCAAACTTACCTTTTTCAGGCAAAGTAAGCTTTAACTCAATGGATATATGTCTCCAACTAAGAGGTTGTGAGTTCGAATTCGGATTCACTGTATTTTTATTGGCGAATTTGAGATCCAACATCGTCAAAAAAAACTTTGACTAAGATTTATTATTTTTTCTGTCTACGTCACCTATTGAAATATTATAAAAATTGATACTTTTATCACGTAAGCATATAAATAATATAAATTAATATTAAAATCATGAGCATATAATCAACATTTTGTCATCGATTATATTATGTAAGAGATCAGTGGTGAGCATTAGTAAAAACTTTGTTAATATTTTGAAATATTGGCCTCAAATAAAAATTAAACTCAAAATAGATAAATATTTTGAAATTTAGAGATTAAATAAAAATTAAGAGAGTATTTTACCCAATAAAAATAAATAAATATAAAAAGGATGACAGAAATTAAAATGCATATAATAATATATAAATACAAAACGTAAGCACAATAATTTGAAATTACTAAATTCGAAATCCCAAAAAAAAATTTAAAAGAGGAAGAAGAAAAATGAAAAAAGAAAAAAAAAAGTCAAAAAGCGCCATTGGTGGTGTGGTGTCCTCTGTTTGTTTTCCTTCTTCCTCTTTGTTTTCGGTCTCAAAATAATAATCACAGACGAAGGGCTAGAGAGAGAAAACCCAGAGAGAGAGGGGAGAGAAAGTGTGTTGAAAGACCAATCTGACCTCCGTGTCCGGCTGCTTCTTCTTCCTCCTTCTCCTCTCCTCTTCCGCGTCTGCCTGTTTCTTGTTCCTCACCATGAATGAGAAGGCCAACGTTACCAAGGAGCTCAACGCCAGGCACAGAAAGGTACCCTTCTCATTTCTTCGTCGGATCATCAATCTTTTCAGATGGGATTTCGGTTTTCTCCTTCTTTTTTCCCTTCCTAGTGATTTTCTTTCTCTGGGTTGGTCGCTAATCAGTTAAAGAAGAGATGGGTTCTGTTTTGTTTTTCTTTTTACGTTTGAATTTGCTTCTGGACGGTATAGATTTGGCTATTCTCTCTGCAATTCGAACGGAACGTTTATCGATTTGGGTTGCAGTTCATTTGATCTCCGCGTTTGGATCAATTGCATTTTACCCAACATTTAGATTAGCGATTGGTTGTTTTTGTTTTGTCTTCTTGCGCTTTTTTCGTGCTTTGGAGGATAACTTATTTCTTCGATTGAATTCTGGCTGCTGGATTTCAGTAATTCCATTTCTCGACGCCCCTGATTCATGTTTTAACAGCGACGGCGTGTGAGTTTGAGTAACCTCGGTTTTTATTGATCGTGCCTGTATCAAGTTTCTTAAACGTTATTATCCCAATTATAATTCGAGAGTATTGTTGTTACAGAAAAGACCCTGCAAAATATTTCCTTTGTACTATAGGAATGAGAATTGGTTTAGTGGGGAACCTGGGCCAATATCAGAAGTTTACTCTAGGAGGATAGAATTGAACTCGCTATTTAAATATGTCTAACAAATGACTAATCTTTTAATTAAATTACCGTCCTTAGAGTGAAGTGTCCGCTTGAGTGATTTGGATTTTACAGAATCCCAGTTGCTCGGTGTTCATAGTCGTACATGATAGATAAAATATTAGATATTTTCTAACATCGGGATTTTTACATGTACTTGTGTTTGGTAATGACGTATTTGAGTCATATATGGGAAAAAAAGGAGAAATATTTGTTGAGTAATGACTTTAAAAGTTTCTGTTCAATACACCCTTTTTCTGGTTAAGGTTTGCTCCTTTACTTACATTCAATTCTTACATTTTATGCTCTTATGATGTGCAGATATTAGAAGGGCTTCTTAAGTTGCCAGAGAATAGGGAGTGTGCTGATTGCAAAGCTAAGTATGTTTTCTCTATTCTTTATCTTTCTCACTGTTGTGTTGCTTCTTTGTATGATAAAAGAAGCAAGTCCTAGTTTACACCATGAATATACCAATACTATTTACCGGTTGAATGACAATGAATGTGTTATAATCGATTTTTGTTTTGCAGGGGACCACGATGGGCTAGTGTTAATTTAGGCATTTTTATATGTATGCAATGTTCCGGGATCCACAGAAGTCTTGGTGTTCACATATCAAAGGTAGTGTTTTGCTTTTTATATGGCTGGTGAAAAGAATTCTGTGCTCCCTTTTAAATTACGACAAGATGTGAGTTACATATGGGATGTAAATATTGAGTATAGTGGAGATATGCTTGCTTGTAGCTTCTAAATATAATTTCTTCTCCTCGACCATAAGTGCTTGGATTTTGGTCTAGTTTTTCCATGATTATATTTTAAAAATACGTCTTGGCTATTCATTCTATTTTTTATCTTGACTGGCGCTCATTTCTTATGTGTCTCAAGGACACCGGTAATATGTTGAATTGTTGCTTCTAGCTCTTGAGTAACTTCGCCTTGAGTGATTCCATTTGGCCTAGACTCCTAGTATTGTAGTCATCAATATAAGCTTTAAGTACTTTCAGCTTCAATTGATCTATTTTCATCTTCTGGGTGTTATTCCTTTTACTTTTACATATTTAATGTGCTGGTAATTAGTTCAAGTATGGTTTGACGGCTTTTGTTTGCAGGTTCGTTCTGCTACCTTGGATACTTGGCTTCCGGAGCAGGTTACTTTTATACAATGTATGCTTTTCCAAATTAGTCTATTTTATCAGTTAATATTGATTTCTTTTCTTACTGAGATTGTTTCGTTTCTGTGTGCAGCAATGGGGAATGAGAAGGCAAACGATTACTGGGAGGCAGAGCTACCACCAAACTATGACAGAGTTGGGATTGAGAATTTTATTCGTGCAAAGTATGTTTAGAGTTTAAAGATGGATTTACCAATTAACATTACTTTTAAAATACAATTATAGCTGTATCAGTAATGGTTATCAGTTTCTTTAGATTTAAAAGTACTCCGCTTTATGCAAATTTTATAGGTATGAAGACAAGAGATGGGTTCCTAAGGATGGAAAACCAAGATCACCTTCTCGAGTACGGGAAGAAAAGCCTTCTTTGCATGTGCAGAGGCCTGGGGAAAGAAGTGGGTCAGGGTATTCACATTCAGGTCATTCTGAAAATTTGTTTGAGGAAAGAAAGAAAATTCAAACTCAGTGTGTGAAAGAGAGTATACCTGCCTCAAGAATTAGTCTTCCTGTTCCTCCTAGAGGACCTGAACAAGTATGTTGGTTTTTCTTCCCTGTTCATTAACTTCTCGACTTAACAATTAGGATGTTTCATAAGCATTTTGTAACAAATTTCATTATGCAAAAATTACTTCTGATTTAGGACATGAGGAATGAGGGAGGCAAGAGTAAATATAACGTGTACATTAGTTATATGGCTAAAGTTCATCTCATAATATTACTTTTGTGTACTACTCAAACTTATAAATGTTCAATTGTGCATAATAAGACATACATTCAAGATTGAAGAGACTATGTATATGCAGTTGCTAGTCCATCAATAATATATTTAATAATGCACATATAAAAATGATGTTCATCATGGATTTCCTCTTTGGGGCATTGTTCTCCCCCCGCCCCTTCGAGAGAGGGGAAGATTTTCGAGAGAGGGGAAGATTTTTGTGGCAGGCATGTTTCTTTGCTACTTTGTGGGGAATTTGGCTCGAGAGAAATAATAGAATTTTTAAGGGGTTGGAGAGATCTGGGGTATATTTGGGAGCTTATTAGATTTAATGTTTTCCAGTGGGGGGTCGGTTTCTAAGAGTTTTTTAAATTTTCAGTTAGGTGATTCTTTTGGATTGGAGCCCCTTTCTCTTGGGGATGTCTTGTGGTCGGCTATGTTTTTGTATGCCCTTGGATATAATTTTTTCCATTTCTCTCAATAAAATCTTGGTTTCTTAATTATTTAAAAAAAAAAAAATCATGGATTTCCCCTACACAAATGTGTCATTTTGGTTTTGGTCCGAGGACCAAAGTGGTGGTATGTTTTCATCCCGCCCGAGTAGAAACGGAGTCATTCAAAAAACTAAATCTTTTATGGATCAACTCCAATGAGGATTATTCAAGTTGTGGCATTGTCTCAGCTCAATTCAGGATTTAGTGAACAACGATCTTTCTTCTCTCTAGGTTTAGGTCTATCTTCATTTTTTAAACTTCGTTAATATCTAAACCTTGGAACTAAATGTGGTAAGAAATTTCTAATGCATATGCATGTGTTGACTACATTTGTATAGGTTGCTCCAGCCCCCAAAACACGCCAAGAGCAAAAACCAGAACCAGTTGTACAGCAAGCCGAAGCAACGAAACAGACTACAAATGATGCCCCAGCTGCCTCTCCTCCAAAAGTTGATTATGCTACTGACCTTTTCAACATGCTATCCTTTGATAGCCCCTCTGAAAATGGCTCAGCAGCAGTTTCTACGGATGATAATTCATGGGCTGGCTTCCAGTGTATGTTTTTAACTTTTCCTTGCCCTACCACTTTTAAATATTTCTGAAATTTTTAGATATATGTTCAATGTTACAGCTGCTAGTGCTGAAGTAGCGGCATCAGCTGAGAAACCTGGTCCAGAAAAACCAGCTGAAAGCATTGCCCAGCCCTCTTCTGGAATTGAGGACCTTTTCAAAGATTCAACTTCAGTTTCACCTTCTTTAGTTCCTGAAAAACCTGTCAAAGATGTTAAAAATGATATAATGAGCCTTTTTGAAAAGGTAAATATTGCATCATTGCTTTTAAGTCTTGAAATTATACTCTTCAGTAAAGTTTTCTACTTTTCCATTTTGATCTATGAGGTGGAATTATTTATTTTTACATCATGTTGTTGCTATTAGTTGAAAGAGCAATCGAATTTAACTGTTTATGTGCAAATTTTATATATGTTGAAAAATTACTTGCTCAAAAATTAGTCTTTTGGGCTTCTATTGACAGTGGTATTTGATGTTTTCATTTGAATACCTGCAGTCCAGTATGGTCTCTCCATTTGCTATGCATCAACAGCAACTTGCCATGCTAGCTCAGCAACAATCACTTCTCATGGCTGCTGCAGCTAAATCAGCTGCTGGGGATGCAAAATTCGGTAACACCCAGACCGCTGTCCCCAATGGTACCAATGTACCGCCTCAAAGTTGGCCAAATGTTGCCTACCCGATTCCCGGATTGATGATGCAAATAGGTGCGCAGGGTGGGCCGCAAACTACAGTGCAGGTAGTTGGAAGTGTTTTTGATAATGTTTATTAGAAGATAAATTTATTGATACTCATCCACATAGTATCTAATTGTTCTATATATTTTGTGAGTTAGACAATGAACAGGGCGCTGGCAAATCCAGTTGGGAGTTCTGTTCCATATCCAACATCTAGGTATGCAATTATGCTTCTATCTTTCTTTGATACTAACGGATTTTCAAGTTCTGAAAGACTTTCAAACTTTTAAGATACAAAAGCCTCGATATGATTATTAATAATTGGAAAGCTGCTATTGTTTATTGTTTAGAGTTCGAGGAGGGTGATCTCCACCCTCTGCCCATTGTCCACAACTTTTGTGTTGTTCTTTGAATACATCGTCTTCTATTAATAAAAAAAAAGCTTTTTAAACCCAAGAGTTTCAAGATTTTCATGAAAAATTTGTCATAGAAGTTGCAGTTTGTGATTATTTCCATTTTCAGGGCTTTGTTCTATCAAGCATGATGAAGATGATTCTGGAAACAACCAAAATTTGAAACTTATCCATCCTTTCATATGATGTGAATGCATCTTTTTGTTTAGTGGAAGAATACTGACATCCAAAATCAATCCGAAAATATTTTGGATCCTCTGTTTTCCTGCTGCTTGCTCCTGTGTTGATTTTTCTTATCTGAGATAAAAAGTTAGAATGAACCCAAACTAAAAAGATAAAGAGTCAGTTGGATAAACCATATCAGAGGTTCCATAAAGAATAAAAGTTTAGAACATTTATCTGGTGAACGAAATCATACAGATTCATCAATTCAATTCTCTGGGATAATCAGATGAAGTTGTAATGTTCTTCTTGCAGCCTTTATAGCCTCGGTCAAGTGTCTCCAGCACCGGTGAATGGTGTGACCTCTGCAGCAAACAATAAACCTCAATCGGCAGCGTCGGTATCGTCAGCTACTCCTTCGCAGTCGGGAAAAGAATACGACTTCTCGTCTTTAACACAAGGTATGTTTTCAAAACATTAAACTGGTGGGTGCTGGAATGAGGATGGATGATGATTATACCAAGAAAGGTAAGTTGCAGGAAGACAGCAATGGTCAATTTTTTCCACCTGTACTGGGGATTGTAAACTATTACTTGTAGAGGCAGTCTCAGTTTCTATAAATTTATTGCCCTTTTTTCTTTTTCCAGAGTGATTTCTTCATTTGTATGATGAGTAGCTTTGTCTTGACCAATAAAAGAGGGATTAGATTAATATGATTTATCAATTATACCATTTTGTAGTTGCTTAATGCTTGATTTTTGGTTATTGAAATGATTGAAAAAATGAAAATAATTGCTTTATTGCTTCATTTGTATGATAAATTCTTGGAGGGTCTTTCCTTTTTTTTCTTTTTTTTTTTTGGGCAAAATATGCAGCATTGAGATTATTGTATCTGCATTTGATTAGACAAGAAAATTAGTTTATATACTTGTATTTTCAATTAATTGCTCGACATCATTTAAAATAATCGATTTCTATTTTTTTTTTAGGAAAAAATTATTAGACAGTTTCCTACTCGTAAGGGTCAATAGCTCTTGTTCTCTTTAATTAAATTATAAAATAAAAATTAAAAAAATTGGCCAATTAATTTTAATATGAATTATTAGTTTATACTAATCCTGACAATTAAATTACAAATGGTATACAATTAGTTATTCATTTTGGTTAAATTTGTAATTTCACAAGTGTTTGATATGTTGACTATCATCCAATTGATTTACAAAGTTTAACATAAACCAAAGGCTCACTATAATCTTTTGGTTATGTTTTCATTTTTATATTTGTAATTCATAATTTTACTTATTTTAGTCTTTTGTAATTTTAAAGAATATGTTTTTTTCTCTATACTTTTAAAAAATTATCATTTCAACCCTTTATTTTATTTCTTTCCATCACGATTTTAACGTGACACTTCGTTGGTTAAAGTAGGATACTTCTTATAAGTACCCGAGTCAAAATGAACCAAATCCGAATTACATTAACCAAAATAGAAACCTAATCTTATATTCCACAAAAATTTAGTGTTCGAATTGTACAGTAACAATGTTTATTTACATGATTATTTTTACAAAACTTAGTCCAATTCAAGTCCAACCATACCAAATACAACATAATCTCACACACAATTGCAAGATTTTGAGGTCTTTACTCTTTAGTCGGTTTGGCAAATTTGGGTGTTGGATAAAGACAGCCTCAAAATTCTTCACTCCATTCATCTACTTTGTCCTTGAATTCAAAGTCTACCAAATTCCAAACATACCCTTCAATTTACAACCATCCATTAAAAAATTTGAATATATAATTTTGATCTCCAATATTTTCAAAATTATTTTATTTGAAAAAATAAAGATAAGTGCAAAATATTTGAAGAAAAATGTGGTGGAATACATTTAAAACTATTTTGTCTTCACCGCCCTTGTGTTATCTATTCTCATGTCTATCAAATCATGGCATAATTTCAATCAAAATGTCATGTCACATTTGAGTAATATAGTGTTATAGACCAATTAGAATCAAGATCTTAGAGAGGTTGAACTAAATTTTTTAAAGTTCAAAAATTAAATATAATAATAATAATAATAATATATAGGTTAAAAGGTACTCTTGGTCCCTATATTTTCGTTAAAGTAACGATTTAGTTATTGAACTTTCACATTGGTAACAATTTAGTCCTCGAATTTTAATATGTAACAATTTAGTCATTGTAATTTAAAGTTTGTAACGATTTAGTTCTTATCATGAAATTTTTTTTGTTAAGTTTCTTATATATATAGATTAATAAAGTAAAGAGTGATCAAAGATATTTATAAATTAGAAAGATTAAATTGTTATAGGATAAAACTTGACACTTAATTTTAATAAATTTTTTTACAATAAAAATTAAATTGTTACAGATTTTAAGGTTAAATCATTACAAATTAAACTAAATCGTTTATTCAGTGAAAGGAGAAGGACTAGAACGTTACAAACTAAAATTTATGGACTAAATCGTTGTTTTAATGATTTTTATCCAAATATATAATAACGATAATAATAAATATAATAATTTGAATAATTTGTGAAAATTAATCTTAAAGAAAAAAATCGTCAATAAATACTCGTACAAGCGTTGGTTTAAGATTTTTTCAAACCTGTCTCGTCTTTGTGTCTTCCTCATTGAACCGCCGAGAAGACAACACAATATGATCTCTGTAATCTCTTCAAACAACCATTGGATTCTATCCCTCAAGCTCCTCCTCCTCTCCTCCGCCATGCTTTCCATGGCGGTAGTGCTCAAATTCTCCGTTCCGGTAGTCGCCGATATCCTCGTCTCCGACGTTCCCGCCGTTTGGAGCTCCATACTCTCGTGGTTAAGGCCTCCTTACCTTTACCTGCTCGTTAATTTCATCATCATCACTATTCTCGCCTCTTCCAAGCTCCACCAGGACCTCGTGGATCCGACGCCGGCGGTTGTTTCGGTTTCGGCGCCTGCTGCGAAGCTGTCCGATGATTCACGAGCAGATTTCATAGTTCGTGTAGCCGTCGCCGACGTTCGCATTAAGAGCGCTTCCGATGAGTATGAAAACTTTGCGATGGATGTTCCGGAAAATTATGAGAAATCGGATGTAGAATTGGTGTGCTCCAGGGTTTCAGATAGAGAAAATCAAGAAAACGGCGAGAAATTAGATCGTAGCGGTTTACAGAAAGAGGATTCGGTGGAGATTTCGTTTCAGAAATACGAAAAGAAGCCGCCGATTTCTTCGAAGGTCGGTGATCGGAAAGCTCCAAAACCTACTCCTCCTCCCGCAGGTGCGCTTCTCTTTTTTCCTCTCTCGAACGCTTGATTTCGTTCAGAAACTACAGAATCTGTTATCGAATGGCACAATGTTTCGGAAAATGATGTGAAATTGAATGTAGAAAATAAAGAAAGCGGCGAGAAAGCTGATCGTAGCGGTTCGCAGAAAGATCAGGATTATTCGGTGGAGATTTCGTCGTTGCAGAACTACGAAAAGAAGCCGCCGATTTCTTCGAAGGTCGGCGATCGGAAAGCTGCAAAACCTACTCCTCCTCCTGCAGGCGCGCTTCTCTTTTTCCCTCTCTCGATAACGCTTGATTTTGTTCAGAAACTGCAGAATCTGTTATGGAAGGGCACAATCGTAATTAATTTTATAACTGGGGTGAAT